TTGAATGCCTTACATACTCTTTGACCTAATCCTGTTCACTAAATTACAAAAACGTAATTAACTTACGCCACGAAAATGTTTTAATATGTTATATTTGACTGCGTCTGTTACAGCTGTTGTGGCTACACAGACACTGTTGTAAATTCTTGCACGACAAAAATAAAGAATTAAAAAAAAAAAAAAAAGAATATCTTGTACGAAAACCGCAATGGAACCCATTAATAGATTACTCCACTGGGTGGCCACCAGTTCGTGCAAGTGAACGCAATTGGTCGGGACAATGGATGGCGGCCATATTGTCTCCCGAAAGCAGTCAGCTGGACTTTTTGTCGAGTGCATGGAACAAATTTTTGACTCTGGCGAACACCGGTCTCCATGGTCCTACTTCCCATTCAAGTTCCTCTACACCTACATAAATGGCGGTCGGGAGATACATACTACCGCAAAAGGGGAGCATTCATCACTAATCCATTTTCGTATAATTTATGTGGTTCTCGCACAAAACCCCACGAATGGAGACTGGCTCTTGCCACAACTTCCCTGGAACTATTTTGGGCTACAACCTCATGGCAGACTGGTCAAAACATCCCCGCGATGGTGATCACTTTTGTGGGCTTTCCATGTATTTTGGGGGTACTTTTGGGGTGGTTAAGAATTGTTATATTTTTTTGTCCATGAGAGATAATGTAATTATCAATGTGTATTCTGATAGTTATCTCTCAGTCACAGAGGATCATGGGAGGGATTTCTCTGCATTTCTGTATAAGAAACCCCAGGTTGGGGTTTTTGCATAAAAGACTGTGTGTGGCCCTGAATGAAATATCTCATGTGTGGGGGGTTATGCTACACCGGCGATATTATTACTCTTGGATTATTGGCGTTATACTATTGGGAAAAGGGCATCCGTGGCAGTAATACTTTGGTAGATCTACACAATACTATATTATAATATCACACTCTCCTAGTTACAGTGTTCATGGTATATTTCACCATATATGGAATCATCAGCCATATGGTATTATATCACACCCTCTCCTAGTTATTATAATATTCATTATTATTAATTATTATTATATCATACCATGTTATATCACACCCTCTAGTTATTATTTTAATATTCATTATTATTATATCATACTATATTAAATCACACTCTCTCCTAGTTATTATAATATGAGTTATTGTTATTATATCATACTGTGTTATTAGGTCACACCCTCTCCTAGTTATTATAATATGAGTTATTTTATCATACTGTGTTATTAGGTCACACCCTCTCCTAGTTATTATAATATGAGTTATTGTTATTATACCATACTGTGTTATTAGGTCACTCCCTCTCCTAGTTATTATAATATGAGTTATTGTTATTATATCATACTGTGTTATTAGGTCACACCCTCTCCTAGTTATTATAATATGAGTTATTGTTATTATATCATACTGTGTTATTAGGTCACACCCTCTCCTGGTTATTATAATATGAGTTATTGTTATTATATCATATTATGTTATTAGGTCACACCCTCTCCTGGTTATTATAATATGAGTTATTGTTATTATATCATACTGTGTTATTAGGTCACACCCTCTTCTGGTTATTATAATATGAGTTATTGTTATTATATCATACTGTGTTATTAGGTCACTCCCTCTCCTAGTTATTATAATATGAGTTATTATATCATACTGTGTTATTAGGTCACACCCTCTCCTGGTTATTATAATATGAGTTATTGTTATTATACCATACTGTGTTATTAGGTCACACCCTCTCCTGGTTATTATAATATGAGTTATTGTAATTGTATCATATTATGTTATTAGGTCACGCTCTCTCCTGGTTATTATAATATGAGTTATTGTTATTATATCATACTGTGTTATTAGGTCACTCCCTCTCCTGGTTATTAAAATATGAGTTATTATATCATACTATGTTATTAGGTCACACCCTCCTAGTTACAAGCTTCATGGTATCTTTATAAGGATGGTGGATGCCTGGTATACTGAGTTAATGGTTTCAGGTTTATATTAACACTTTTTTAAATGAAAATATGAAATAAGGAATAAATGTTTTCCAGTTTATTTTGTAATTAAATGTGGAATTTAATTAAAGGTTACTTCAAGCACCATGGTGTTTGGACTCTGTGCGTGTTTGTGTTTTATTAAATCAGGGGCATTTCCAGGTATGCTCCCCAAACCTGTGGCTGATGATCTGCGGCAAGGAACGGTGTGCGAGGCTCAGAGTTATGCAAGCGCCACCATCTATTTCAGGTAGGCCCAGCATGTTTAATATTCGCTTAGACCTCTTCATTTTCTGTGAATTCTGGGTAGATTTCAGGGAGATGCATTCTCTATCGAGAGCTAAAGTATCAATATTTTCTCTATACTTATATATAGAGTATAGTATATAGTACTGCAGCGTGCATTTCTGAACAAAAACGACAAATAGAATTAAAGTTAAATTGTGACATGACCGCAGATAAGACACAGGTCCAGCGGTGTATTTTGGATCTGTGCTGCCTGTGGCATTGTAACGGATCACCTGGCACCCCGACTGGGTACCTCCATTGAAGCGCTTCTTGAGGGCTCCAAGCACTCCAGCCGACACCATAACCACCGTAGACTCCTTCAGAGAGCAAGACAGGAAAAGACTCTTAAAAGAGCTTAGAAGTGATTATGCAAGGGAGCATGCAGAGCATAGCAATTCCCCCAATAAGAGACAGGACTCTAGATTGAGGGTGAAGAAGAAATGTCTAAAACTTTATTTTCCTTGGGACTAGCCCATATGGGCATTACATGAACATTGCTGTGAAAACTCAATAAAATTACAAACAGTCAAATCATAGCAGGCAACATACAGTGACTTATTATAACACAATGGCATATTTTTAAAGCGGTGGGGGAGACAATAAATAACAGAAAATATGTCACGTGCCTGCAGAATTAGCAATATGCAAATCTACCCGAATATGCAAATGAACCAGTCTTGCTATTCAGGTAGTGCATATTGCTGTTGCTACCAACAGAGGGCACTAGACAAGCTCCATAGCCAAATCCACCTAGTTGGTAGCAAATCTCAGCAGAACAGGAGGCAATACATCCCAGGGGCCATAGTCACTTGGCAAGAGGCTGGCAATCAGTGTTCTCCAATGCCCTGTGGCGAGGCTGGTTCCGCCACAGGCATGACAGAATTCGGGCACCCCCGAATTTACATTTGCCCCACTGCTTCCTGTTAATGCCACACTTCTTCCTGTAAAAGACTAACACACACTTTGACTGACAGACACACACTCTCAGATACACTGACATACACACATACTGATTTGACACAATCTTACAGACACACTGATTTACTCACTGACACACACTGACAGACACTCACAATCACTGACAGACATGCACACAGTCACTGACACACCCACCCACTCACAGACACACACAGAGACAGGCATACACAATCACTCAGACACACACACACACACACACACACACATTGACAGACACACACTCACTCACTTACTGACACACACTGACAGACACACACAATAAGTAAGACACATTGCCCCCTCACAGACACACACCGACAGACACACACAATCACTCAGACACATAGCCCCCCTCACAGACACACACTGACAGACATACACTCACACACATTCATTCAGACACAAGCACACATTCACTGACAAACACACACTCACAGAGACACACAGTCACTCAGACACACAGGCTTTCTCACAGACACACACTGACAGACACACACTCTCACTTACAGACACTCACACACACACACTCACTCACAGACACACACACTGACAGATATACACACACAGACACACTGACAGACTGACAGACATACACACTGAGAGCCAACCAGACACACAAACACATACATTCCACCCCCCATCCCTCACAGATTATTTTTTAATTATAATTTAAATCCACCAGCCTCCCTAGCTTTGGGAGAGCTGGGTGGATTTTTTACCTGGGGTCCAGTGGGGCTGCTGGCCGAGCTGTTTGGGCAGGAGGGCGTGCAGGCAGTCGGGCGGCCACAGACGTCATATTCTAGCTCCCGGCATCACTCTGCGGCACACCGCTTGTTGTTCACCTAGCCGCCTGCCCCAAGGCTAACAAGGCATTTGGCTGGGCATTTGGGGGTGGCGTTTTTTGCTGCCCCCTGGAAAGTGCCGCATGCCTTGTTTGCCTAACAGCAAATACAGTGTGGTGACATTCTGTCATCAAACTAATATGGTGACCAGGGGTCATGTGATTATAAGGCTCATGTTTGCCTTTCTTACAGTGCATAAGCTTTACCCTTTGAAATGGTAACTGGGTAATACAATACCTTTACAAGTCAGGAAAGAGATAACTACTCCCCCCTTTCTCCATTCCTCTCTGTTCCTTCTTGGCTGTGCTGCAGAGCAGATGTGCAGATGCCATGTGCTAGCATGGTGAACCATGTTACACTCTGTTGCTTCCTTTTCTTCCTTGGTGGATGTGATGTTGAACTTGCAGCAGTGAGCCATTACTAGATGTGAAGGCCTAACCGTGGGTGAGATCAAACGTGTGGGGAAGGGGGTTACTATATAGATAGATAGATTTAAAAAGGGTTGTTGCTCCGTGGGTCTGGGCTGTGTGTTTGTGATACATTTATAGTATTGTGTTGTTGCCTTTTAATGAATACCTTTTAATGTAGACAAACCTTGTATAATATATAGGTCTGATTTAGGGTAAGGAAAAAACGAAAAAGACCTCATTCTTTCAGAGCGTTGTAAATATTCTGCCTGAGGGAGAGAAATTAAACAAACGGGGCAGGAGTTGGTGCTAGAAGGGGAGAATGGATGCACTGACATTTAATTATCCAGAATAGGTTTCCTTTTTCTTAGTGTAAGTCCTACTATAACCTCCACTCATGTGCTTTTATCTCCAGTATCACAGCTCAGCTTTCATTCTATGAGTCGTCGTGGCTCAGAAATTAGTTTTAGAAAGGGAGGATCTCCCGAATGCTTGTCATTCCAAAATTCTTAGTCCAATAAGCGAATGCATAGAGATTCTGAGGGAGTTTGTCACAGGTTAATAATCATTTACAAATTATTTTGTACCATATCATTTTGACTAGTGACATCGTGGGATTTACAGCCCTGTCTGGTGCCAGCACGCCATATCAAGTGGTCGATTTCCTGAACAAGTTATACACAAAATTTGATGACATCATTGACAACTACGATGTTTACAAGGTGGAAACTATAGGAGACGCATGTACGTATTGAGTTGAATTTACATCAAATTACATTGAATTCAATCAAATTTAATTTACAACAATTATTTCAAATCCTGGCCTTAAAGGAACACTATAGGGTCAGGAACAGCAACATGTATTCCAGACCCTATAGTGTTAAAAATGCAATCTGGCCCCCTGGTACCCCTCCCCCCTCTTTCCCTAAATATAGTAAAATCTTACCTTTATTTTAGTCTGCTGCTGCTGCCTCTGCCCAGATCTGCCTGCTTGGCTGACATAATCAGAAATCATTGGATTGACTGATGCTGTCAAGGAGGCAGATCAGGGGCAGAGCCACCACAAGCCTTGACCAATCAGCATCTCCATGAGGAAAGTTCAGTGTCTGCATGCAGAGGGTGGAGAGACTGGATGTCAGTCACACTGTGCAGCACTGCCCCAGGAAGCACCTCTAGCAGCCATCTAAGGAGTGGCCAGTGGAGGTATCACTAGGCTGTAATGTAAACACTGGATGTGAGTTTATGTATACACTCACTCTAATTTAAATTTTATTAACAAATATACAGTATTATACTATTGTATCTGTTTTTATGTTTTTTCTTTACATGTGGAAAAAATCCCCCATATCTTACTAAGGGGTAAGTGTAATTAAGAAAGTGCTGCACCTTGGGACTCTGCATGTTGGGATTATCACCTAAACCACTGAGTCCACTTTTCTGTCTACATCCCTTGATTGCCCTGACCTGGGTGAACAACATATCCAAAAATCACCCAGTTTATAGCAGGGGTTAAAACGTTTTGTGGAAGTCACATCTGACTGCCCGCAAGCATGGCTTTCATGCCCAAAACAGTTCCACAGATTTAGGCTGTGCAGCCGGTCTATCTTCTCCTCTATCCTGGAGATAATTGTCTTAAGTGGCTGTGGTAAGCCAATTATCTCCAGTAACAGGAAATATGTCTAAGTCCAAAAAACTGTTACAAAAACCACATAAAAATACATAACTCTTATAATACAATGTTTAACCTATATTTCCAAAATATCCCCAGATAGCTTGGATCTGAGCGCTCAATATGTCCGAAAAGCGCTCAGATCTCACAAATACAGTTGGATCACCATGGAGTTAAACAATAGCAAGGGCTGATGAGAGATTGAGGAGGTACAAAGCAGCCAGTTTCAACTGGTCTGGCAGTGTCCCTGGGACAACGCCCTGCTGGAGAACAATGGACAGGAAAAAGAGGAGGGGAAGAGGCACATTTTCGCATGGATTTAAAGGGGCAGAAAAAGTGTTTTAAAATCCAATAAGTCACAGGGGCCATAATCACAGGGCAAAAGGCTAGCCATTAGTCCTCTCCAAGAACAAGTGGCGAAAAAGCACTTTGTCACAGTTACATAGTTACATAGTTACATGTCAACCATGAGTTAAAGTCAAATCTTAGGCATGTGAAGTGTGACGAGGAAAATGTGGAGGCTTTATGGGTAGATATCTGCTTGGGGCAAACATATGGAAATCAATTATTGGTTGGGATATGTTATAAACCACGTAATGTAAATATTATTGAGGAATCGAGGTAACGTTAATTATTGGAGATTTTAATTACCTAGACATAAATTGGGATAGAGGGACTAGTACTTCAGCAAGGGGAATCAGGTTTTTGAATGTGTTAAATGACACCTTTATGTCACAACTGGTACAAGCACCAGCTAGAAAGGATACTTGTGAAATAAACACTAATTTACATAACCAGTATGTAAAAATGGCAGTGTGTAGCGCTAAATGATATTAACTTACACCATAAAAAACTTTAGGGGTATGGAATACATATATATCCTCCAGAATCTTTGAGGGTATAGGAGATATAAATACTGTGGAGAAAATAGAAAAATATATAGTGCACTCTGTGCAAACAGACGTAGTTGTAGACCATATAATAGGAAGCACTCACGTGGTTCAGAGCCTATTAAGGATTGGCTCTTAATCACTCTTGCCTTGTGTCCTTTAGGTGACACACACCTTCAACTTCAGATAAAGGATAACCCTCAAAATAAGAGAAAAACAGGGGGAAATTCGCCCTAGTGTTGATATCCTTAAAAACAACAATATGCAAACATATGTGTGCAGGTGAAGGTTGCTTCTCACATGGACAAGAGCCTGTAACCTGGCTCTAAGTAGAAAGGCATATGAGTCCTTTTTTGGGATGACTCCTTCCCTCTTTAGTGGATGGAAAATGTACCAAGTATACTTTTAAAGAATAAAATAATATTTATTACATTCACTTAAAATCAATCTTGATACATTCAGTATATTGGTGTCCAAAACGCGTTTCACCGATTCCGTTTGGCTTTCTCAATTGGTAATTTCCATCCAGTTCTCTTCCTGTTTATAAATCCCGCCTCCCGTCCTGATTGGTGGTCAGAGATCGAAAACCAACCAATCACGGACGTTTCTGCGGGGGAGGGTGATGTGCTCCAGCTGTATTGCTTTATACCTTAGCGGTGACGTCATCACGCACGTACATATGATCGTGCGGACGGCGTCACTTCCGGGAATGTGAAAGAGCAGTATTCATAACATTAGTCCTCAATATCCGATTCTCATTTCCTCAATTTAATTGACATCACTTCCTTTTCTCTCAAAGCTCTCCCCTCCAGTTCGTCATTCCTCATTTTGATTAGTGGCAAAAGTGTTGGAAAAATTGCAAAAGAAAGTTCATGGTGATATTTTACAATCCTAAGGCAGATATGCTCATATTTGAGCATTTAGGCATAAAGAACAATAAAGTGCATCAATTAGTTATGTTTTTACAAAGAAAGACATACTTAAAGGAGAACATATATATTTTCTAAGTAGGAGATGTATGTGCAAGGTATTAATGATGTTCTAGCCACTAGAAATAAAAGGATTCTTCAATAAAATTAACATTTAAACAGTAAAAATAGAATATAAAAATAGAATATAAAAATAGAATATAAAAATTACTGTAAAAAATAGCTAAAAGATAGCTAAAAAAATTATTATAAAAAGTGGCATAATTCAAAATCATCATTAAGACCATAAGGTTGCATGGTGTTTAAATAAAAAATCCATCTCATCTCTGTTTGTCCGATTAATTTCATAGGGTCACCACCTCTCCAATTTCCAACTATTTTCTGAATTCCCATAAATTCCATCAATTGGGGGTTACTATTATGTTGGTTTTTAAAGTGCAAGGACACACTATGATTAAGGAACCCTTTTTTTATGTTCCCAATATGTTCCTGGATTCTGGTATTTAAAGTCCTATTGGTCCTTCCTATGTAAGCTAAACCACAAGGACAAGTGATCCTTTATTCTTGTCCTGTGGGTGATTAAATGCTCTTACTGTTCTCTTACTATTTTTGGAACCCTTACATGCTCCACACATGCCGCATCCATAAAAACCAGTTTTTTCTTTAAAAAATTGGTTTGTCAGTTTCCTAGAGGGTATATGATTTTTTATTAACGTCCTCTTAAGATTTGGTACACCTCTATATACTATGTCAGGTGTATCAGGAAGTATTGAGTTCAATATAGGGTCATTCTTTAAAAGTGGCCAATATTTTCAAATGATTTTCTTTAGACATCTACTATTATAATTAAAATCACAAATAAATTTTAAATTCTGTGGTTCTGCATTCCCCTTAATTTCTTTATACTCTATTAATTTTGTCCTATCCTCATTTTCTACTTCAACAAAGGCTTTATTTAGAAGTTCACCTTTGTATACCTTCTCTCTAAAATCTTTTATTATTTTCTCCGATTGTTCATGAAATTTATGTTGATCCGTGCAATTTCTTTTCACTCTGAGTAATTGCGCCTTAGGGGCGTTTAACATCCAGGAGGAGAAATGGCAGCTATTTTCCCCTATATAGCTGTTAACGTCCACCTTCTTAAAATGAGTACAGGTTTTAAGTGTATTCTGTTCAACATAAATATTGAGATCTAAAAATTCTACAGAACTCTTGTTAAAATTACTTGTGAGTTTAATACCCCATTTGTTTCCATTAAGGTGATTTAAAAATGATAAAAGTGATGTCTCGTCTCCATCCCAAATAAAAAATATATCATCGATATAACGGCGGTAGGTCATTAGGTTTGCATCCCATCTCCGGTCGCCATGGATATATTCTTCTTCCCAGTGTGCCATAAGTGCCCAGTGCGCCCAGCTATGCGAACCTATTTATGGCACACTGGGAAGAAGAATATATCCATGGCGACCGGAGATGGGACGCGAACCTCGTGACCTACCGCCGTTATATCGATGATATATTTTTTATTTGGGATCTCCATCACTTTTATCATTTTTAAATCACCTTAATGGAAACGAATGGGGTATTAAACTCACAAGTAATTTTAACAAGAGTTCTGTAGAATGACCCTATATTGAACTCAATACTTCCTGATACACCTGACATAGTATATAGAGGTGTACCAAATCTTAAGAGGACGTTAATAAAAAATCATATACCCTCTAGGAAACTGACAAACCAATTTTTTAAAGAAAAAACAGGTTTTTATGGATGCGGCATGTAAGGGTTTTTATGGATGTGTGGAGCATGTAAGGGTTCCAAAAATAGTAAGAGAACAGTAAGAGAATTTAATCACCCACAGGACAAGAATAAAAGTTTTAAAATTAAACAAATTATCACTTGCCATACAACTAAATTAATATATATGATCACTTGTCCCTGTGGTTTAGCTTACATAGGAAGGACCAATAGGACTTTAAATACCAGAATCCAGGAACATATTAGGAACATAAAAAAAGGGTTCCTTAATCATAGTGTGTCCTTGCACTTTAAAAACCAACATAATAGTAACCCCCAATTGATGGAATTTATGGGAATTCAGAAAATAGTTGGAAATTGGAGAGGTGGTGACCCTATGAAATTAATTGGACAAACAGAGATGAGATGGATTTTTAATTTAAACACCATGCAACCTTATGGTCTTAATGATGATTTTGAATTATGCCACTTTTTATAATAATTTTTTTAGCTATCTTTTAGCTATTTTTTACAGTAATTTTTATATTCTATTTTTATATTCTATTTTTATATTCTATTTTTACTGTTTAAATGTTAATTTTATTGAAGAATCCTTTTATTTCTAGTGGCTAGAACATCATTAATACCTTGCACATACATCTCCTACTTAGAAAATATATATGTTCTCCTTTAAGTATGTCTTTCTTTGTAAAAACATAACTAATTGATGCACTTTATTGTTCTTTATGCCTAAATGCTCAAATATGAGCATATCTGCCTTAGGATTGTAAAATATCACCATGAACTTTCTTTTGCAATTTTTCCAACACTTTTGCCACTAATCAAAATGAGGAATGACGAACTGGAGGGGAGAGCTTTGAGAGAAAAGGAAGTGATGTCAATTAAATTGAGGAAATGAGAATCGGATATTGAGGACTAATGTTATGAATACTGCTCTTTCACATTCCCGGAAGTGACGCCGTCCGCACGATCATATGTACGTGCGTGATGACGTCACCGCTAAGGTATAAAGCAATACAGCTGGAGCACTTCACCCTCCCCCGCAGAAACGTCCGTGATTGGTTGGTTTTCGATCTCTGACCACCAATCAGGACGGGAGGCGGGATTTATAAACAGGAAGAGAACTGGATGGAAATTACCAATTGAGAAAGCCGAACGGAATCGGCGAAACGCGTTTTGGACACCAATATCAAGATTGATTTTAAGTGAATGTAATAAATATTATTTTATTCTTTAAAAGTATACTTGGTACATTTTCCATCCACTAAAGAGGGAAGGAGTCATCCCAAAAAAGGACTCATATGCCTTTCTACTTAGAGCCAGGTTACAGGCTCTTGTCCAGGTGAGAAGCAACCTTCACCTGCACACATATGTTTGCATATTGTTGTTGTTTTTAAGGATTTCAACACTAGGGCGAATTTCCCCCTGTTTTTCTCTTATTTTGAGGGTTATCCTTTATCTGAAGTTGAAGGTGTGTGTCACCTAAAGGACACAAGGCAAGAGTGATTAAGAGCCAATCCTTAATAGGCTCTGAACCACATGAGTCATTCCTATTATATGGTCTACAACTACGTCTGTTTGCACAGAGTGCACTATATATTTTTCTATTTTCTCCATAGTATTTATATCTCCTATACCCTCAAAGATTCTGGAGGATATATATGTATTCCATACCCCTAAAGTTCCTTATGGTGTAAGTTAATATCATTTAGCGCTACACACTGCCACTTTTACATACTGGTTATGTAAATTAGTGTTTATTTCACATGTAATCACGATAGGATTGAAGAGTACCTATTTTTCTGTGTGAGAGCTGCTGTACTATAAGAGCACCTGTTACTATTTAATTTAAGCGCCTGACGACACAGAATATTCTGCTATATTGTAGAAAGGATACTTGTCTGGATCTCGTCATAACAAACAATGTTGATCTTTTAACCAACATTCAAGTAGGGGAGTGTAACGGATCACCTGGCACCCTGACTGGGTACCTCCGTTGAAGGATGCTCCTAGCACTTCCTGAGGACTCCAAGCACTGCAGCAGACACCACAACCACCGAACCGGAGAAACATCCGAATGTTCTCAAGCATATGAATACTGTAAGCAGCTGAACAGGAAAAGCATACAATCAGCTTACACTCCTGGCAATCAGCATACAATCCAATTCCCCCAATAATGAGACGACACTTCGTTTTGAGGTCAAGCAGAACTGACTGTACTGGCACATACAGCCTCTTTTATTCACAATCCACAAACATAGTACTGCCCACAGGGTTTTGAAATACAACCAATCAATTCGTACAATACACACAGACAGTCCCACACAAAATCCTCCCCTCTGCCTGTGATATGATTACTGAACACAATGGTTAATATAATTATCAAAGGCAGAGAAATACAGTATTATAAAACCTATCACAGGGACCCCAAAACATGCAATAACCCCATAATTCACCCAGATCCGTTCAGTAGTTTGGAAGATACAGCTTAATGCAGATTCCGCAGAACATATACAGGCTATATGAAAAATAATTACTGTATAATGTGTC